TCGAGCGCAAACATTTAACTTAATTACGGTTTCAAAGAGTTAAGATTATACAACAGGGCTCAAAAGTAGAGATGCACAGCAGTAAGTAAAAGATATATGGCTTTACATGCATGCTTTATCGTGGACGTTATATTAAATATCCATGCAAGCTAGATCGATTGAAGACTTGATTATTGCTTTATAACAGGGATTTTTATTTGCTTTGTTTCTTCATTTGACAAAGCACTATTGTGCTTAATTATTAAACAGATAGTTAAATATTAAATGCGTTTACGGGAAAATTTATTTGCTCTGATCAAGCGATTACGTTTTGTTTCTGGAGGCCTTTTTAATTTCGTATCTTGAAGCATTCATTTTCGTCTAGTTGAGTACGAATGTTTAACTGTATCTCTCGTCCCATGGCTATGTATATGGCTCATGGAATATGTATAATTTGATATGTGATTTAAAATTGATCAAAGTGAAGAGACTTTATAAAATATATCCATCTCTCGCATAATACATAGCTAAATTTGAAATCATGGATTCCGATTCGCGAAGAATGACCTATTCACTAAACTGCATAGAGTGCATAATGACGTACAAACTTACTTTTCTGACAGAATAGAGTGAGAAATAAACCCAAACTTAGCAGAGTAATTACTTGCATTCATATCCTTGTCCCATCTGAACCTCTTTTGGGAATTTTACTTATGACAACGTACATTAACATTTCGATCTTTGTAATTTCAAGCGTTGTTATTAAGTTATTTTCATTCATGAAGAATGTACATGATGAAGTAGATATCATAACATGCATCTGTCTGTATCCTAATCAACCCATTAAACTTATATGCATCTTTCTCTACCACGAACACGAGAATTTATCAGCATCTAACACTGACCAAGGTTCTGGAATCCAGTAAAAAAAATAAAGATTATCAATCAACAACAGCTTGAATCCCTCCAGTATGGTAAAGCACTATTCCAAAAAGATTAATCTATCAACAGGGGAACATAAAAGCGCGGAGTCCACGGAGTTAGATAAGAAAAATTAGATAAGAAAAATACTTGGCCAACAGATCATATGGATCTGATCTTGAGTTTGAACTTGAGTTTTCACCATCAACTGATAAAGAAATTGACACTATAACCGCTCTGGTGGCCTAAGTAGTTCCGCCACAGATGCGGAAGGTCGCAAGGTCGAACCCCGAATCGTACAACGACTTTTAAAGTGGTACTAACAGATGTCTCACTTAGCGTTCAGCATTAAGAGGTTAGTGTTAATTTGTTCTGCCAGGTGTCAGGTTAGTGGGACTGGGTTAGACACCATGCTATGTCTGCGGCATCATGCTATATCTGACTCGATACCCCTAATGTTGGAACAGATCAATATCTTTAACACTGTAATTGGTTCCATGTCCCTAATGTTTCAGCAGATTTTATATTCATATTATAAAAATTAACATGATATCTCTAACGTAGGAACTGACTCAATATCCCTAATGTTGGAACATACTCTATATTCCTTATATTGGATTTGACCCATTGCCCGTAATGTTGGAACAGACTATATATCTCTAATGATGGAGATGAATCGATATCTCTGATATTGGAACCGACCTATGTTCCTTATACTGGAATTGACTTATTACCTATATTGATGGAACAGGCCTATGTCCCTTATACTGGAATTGACTTATTACTTATATTGATGGAACAGGCCTATGTCCCTTATATTGGAATTGACTTATTACCTATATTGATGGAACAGGCCTATGTCCCTTATACTGGGATTGACTTATTACATATATTGATGGAACAGGCCCGTGTCCCTTATACTGGGATTGACTTATTACCTATATTTATGGAACAGGCCTATGTCCCTTATACTGGAATTGACTTGTTACATATATTTATGGAACAGACCTATGTCCCTTATACTGGAATTGACTTATTACCTATATTGATGGAACAGGCCTATGTCCCTTATACTGGGATTGACTTATTACCTATATTGATGGAACAGACCTATGTCCCTTATATTGGAATTGACTTATTACCTATATTTATGGAACAGGCCTATGTCCCTTATACTGGAATTGACTTATTACATATATTGATGGAACCGACCTATGTCCCTCATACTGGAATTGACTTATTACATATATTGATGGAACAGACCTATGTCCCTTATACCGGAATTGACTTATTACCTATATTGATGGAACAGACCTATGTCCCTTATACTGGAATGACTCATTACCTATATTGATGGAACAGACCTATGTCCCTTATACTTGGATTGACTCATTACCTATATTGATGGAACCAACCTATGTCCCTTATACTGGAATTGACTTATTACCTATATTGATGGAACAGGCCTATGTCTCTTATACTGGAATTGACTTATTACATATATTGATGGAACAGGGCTATGTCCCTTATACTGGAATTGACTTATTACCTATATTGATGGAACAGGGTTATGTCCCTTATACTGGGATTGACTTATTACATATATTGATGGAACAGGCCTGTGTCCCTTATACTGGGATTGACTTATTACCTATATTGATGGAACAGACCTATGTCCCTTATACTGGAATTGACTTGTTACATATATTGATGGAACAGACCTATGTCCCTTATACTGGAATTGACTTATTACATATATTGATGGAACAGACCTATGTCCCTTATACTGGAATTGACTTATTACATATATTGATGGAACAGGCCTATGTCCCTTGTACTGGAATTGACTCATTACCCATGATGATGGAACAGACTGGATATCCCTAACCTTTAAATTGACTCCATAAGCCTATATTCCGAGTCTATTAACCCGTTTGTTTGTAACCACATACCGATTTCAATAACGGTAACCTTTAATTTGATAAAATGTGCAAAGAACTTTTTTTTCCATTCATTGATTTATATTTTCTAACCTAAATGTAATTAGAATGGCCATAACACCGTCCTCATATGCTGTTTCATGCTTAACGGACGTTTTCAGTATAATAGACATACTTGAAACCCATTTCCAGTTTCTGGACTAGTTCATTGTCAGCAAATGGGTGTATGTGTGACTAAAGATGTACATACATATGTCGTCTGCCTCTGATATTTACAGTATCAAGCAAAATAAAAGATTGACAATAACAAAAACATGCCTTTCACGTGTATTTAACAAGAGGTTTCAATAATATGTTCATGGTGCAAAGGAATATAATTCCAAACTCAAATTAATGGTAATTTACGAAATTATCCAGCAGTTACTGAATTGGACGAATTACGTCATCATGTTGTTGCCTCGAAGTAAACTGTCCCATAGTGTACGGAATATGGCGCCGTGATATTATGGAAAGTCTGTTAAGCGTGAAAGGTCCAAGGGACGCCAGTATTATGGTCATTCTGGTCACAGTCAGGTTAGATATTATAATTCAATGATTCAATTGATTTAGTTCTTTTCACGTTTTTTCACATTAAACGTTTTAGTTATTGAAGGGAGGGGTACAAACAAACGGGGATGTAACGTCAGACTATAATGTTATAGTGTTAGACCAAAAAGAAATTGCTGCTATTCTAAATACTGTAATGAAAAATGTATATGAATTCAGCGTATAATATGCAGAATGCAATGCTCATGTTAAATATGATCATCCAAAATTGTCCTCAAATAAACAATATTGGTTTGACTTAGACTAAAAATTATCAAAACATTGTGCACTTGATGCAAGTAGACCATTATTATACGAGTGAAAATTTGACTTTGTACAAGTACAATAAGAACGTATGTACAAATACTGCCGGGCATAAAAGAGAATTATACAAGTGAAGGAAAAGATCTATTTAGAATTTGTTTAATCAAAAAATATCTCAACGGTTTTGGAAACTTTTAAAGCCGATATGAGTGCCATAAGTATAAATGTTAATAAGGCAATATAACTCGTAAGTATATAACGGCAAAATAACTGTTATAAGTATGAACGTTATAAAGGCAATATAACTATCGTAAGTATAAACGTTATAAAGCAATATAAATCGTAAGTATAGAAAGCCAACATAATTGTCAGACGTATAAACGTTATAAAGGCAATGTAACTGCCATAAGTATATATGTTATAAAGGCAATGTAACTGTCATAAGTATATATGTTATAAAGGCAATATAACTGTCATAAGTATATATGTTATAAAGGCAATATAACTGTCATAAGTATATATGTCATAAAGGCAATATAACTGTCACAAGTATAAACGTTATAAGGGCAGTATAACTGTCATAAATATAAACGTTATAAAGGCAATATAACTCGTAAGTATAGAAAGGCAACATAATTGTCAGAAGTATAAACGTTATAAAGGCAATGTAACTGTCATAAGTATATATGTTATAAAGGCAATATAACTGTCGCAAGTGTAAACCTAATAAGGGCAGAATAACTGTCATAAATATAAACGTTATAAAGGCAATATAATTGCCATAAGTATAAACGTTATAAGGGCGTTATAATTGTCATAGGTATAAACGTTATAAAGGCAATATAACCGCCATAAGTAAAAACGTTATAAAGGCATTATAATTGTCATAAGTATTAGCGTTAAAAAGGTAATATAACTTCCATGAGTATAAACATCAAAACCTCTGCACGGCCTTAATATTTTTTTAAAGCTACTGATATATCCCAAGAAGATAATCAAGCATTCCCAACGAACCAGACAACAATTATCATCAGATTATAGACAGCAAAATACATGTAGAAGTGCATTACGTTCTTAAATAAATACAATATAGCAACTCTTATGGTATTGATGTTGACATTTATTATATCTTAGTGATTGTTTTCAAGAATACAGGGTATAATAGAGTACCCATATAAGTGTCTCTATTCAATAGATTTTTAGTTCATGGTCACCAGCCTGCACGCTGGACAACTGCCGTAATAACGCCTGTTCAGACTATGGCGATATAACTATGCATCTACGCAGGAACAATAAAGGTGTTCTAGGACCGCTCCAGTGCTCTAGTGGTAAGAGCGTCCGCCTCGAATGCGGGAGGCCGTGTGTTCGATCCCCGGCCGAGTCATACCAAAGTCTTACAAAAATGGTATCAACAGCTGCCTTGCTTGGCGCTCAGTATTAAGAGGTTAGTGTTGGGACTAGTCGGCTTGGTGTTAGGATACTGTGACTGGGTGAAACATCAGGCTCAATGTCTGCGACATGATTCTCCAGTGCTGACATCACTATAAACTGCCACACTGCAGACACCGTAACGATATGACTGTGAAATTGTTTAAGCTACATTGAAAATATTAAATCGCACACACACACACACGCACACAGATGTTTTAAATTATAGGTAAGATGATTGAAATAGATGGTGTTCAACTTCTAATGTTATTGGCATATCTAAGCAAATTCCAAACATGTTGTTTACTTTCATAGATTTGACTTGAGATTTGTTTTCGAAATTCCATTCGAAATCATGTTATTCTACATACGATATAATCTTGTGCGTCACAGTCAAGATAATACATCTTACAAAATATATAGTATTATAACTGTGGAACTTGTGTTTTCGCCGAGTTGGGGTCCAAGGCATGGGGCATTACTATGCAAACCACGTAAGCAGCATTGTGGCATAAGATGGCCTATGTGCCACTACTTAAATATCCACAAAAGAGTTCAGTGAACTTAGAAATACCGTCAAACAGCTCAATAACACATTTTCAATGAAGATAGTAATTGTAACGGATGACACAAATCTGTAAGCGTGAATATTGTACATAGTAAGTGTTTGCAAAAGTTTTAAAACATTGAGAAATTGACAAATATTACTGTTGTTGGAGCCTAACAAAGGGGGGCGGGTACTCTTATAGTCGAGTGAGAGCGTGCAATTTTAGGCTGTATAAAGAAGGATTCAACGAGTTCAGATGTATTCTTATGCAAATAAAACCGCTGAATAAATTATGAGTTATTTTCTATAACCTGACACAATACAAATTATATTATTTGCTAAAAAGGAATGGAATGCATGTAGATTGACTTATTTCGTTTGATTCAATAAATGTGCTCTTTTGAAATCAATATCTTGCACTTTGTTAACAATCGCCTAATGTATCATTTGTCCAGTGCCTTTGTTTAGTCTATTTTATTAATAGAAAATTTAAGTTCTATTCAAAAAATAAATTAATTTATATTTTAGCAAACGCCGTGCATATATCACTTCATTTTATATGCTTATGTGTTGTTTATTTCAATCTTAGAATATATTTGTATATTGTGGGAAATTGGCGGCGTGGAAAACACACCAACCTCTCTCACTACGGTTCGTTGCTAGGGAATGACCTCCGCGCTGTACTTTACCCAGTGTGGATAGAGAGAAAGAAGAATGCAGATCACTGAACAAGTATATTAAAGAAATAACAAAACGAGCCCCCTTTCAATGAACAAATATAAAATTTAATCAGTCTATCAACAGAATTTAAAATGAAACGAAATCAATGACTTGGTTACAAAAGAAGGAAAAATGCTACTAACATGTACTCAAATAAAAAGACAATACAAATTTCTTTAAATGTAAAATTAATTTCAACGTTAAATTTATATCCTCTTTGCCAATGAGATGTGACCTTTGAGGGCAACGAGGAGAGACTTCATCACCTATTTTATGCGGACATCAAGACTTCCGTTCTTCCCTGCTCTGCTGATCTTTGTCTAGCTGTTTCGTCTTGCACTCTTGTCCGTCGAACTCTGATTTAACAATTGTCTCTGGACTTAGATTTCTGCGTAGAACTTGTTCTGGTCCTGTGATTGATCAGGGATTTCTCATGTGAATCCAGTAAGTCTGTTTCCTTTTGCCGTTTCTTTATTCATTTCCACGAATCTCACGTATAATCCGTCTCCAAACTGAGACAACTATCTGGCCCCTTAATCTATAACAAAACGTATTTGTTACGAATTCAAATGTAGAGTTTGCCTACTCGATGAGACAAAAAAAAAACTCCCGCTTTACTGCCAAATCACGAGATAACGTCTTACACGTTCCTCCCGGGATCGTTTAAAGATTAAAGACTAAAGAATTTCCCTAAGGTAAAACCTTTAATTTCTTACAGAGTTTCGCCCATACATCCATATTAAGCAATCGGAATAGACTGTTTTCTAAACCTGTTCCGTAACATTTTTGGATTGACAAGACAACTAAACAACTAATCATGCCGTAATTAACCATTACTTTGAACAATCATCTATAGCCAGCTGCTGCCCTTTAACCGGTCGATTTTGGGAAAGAGTCTTATGTCATTCTCTTGTACCATAGCATCTGACTCGGTCATGTGACGTCGGCTAGAACGAATTCCCTTTTGACGTTCAGCGGTGATATGAAAATAATCATCTATCTCTAGCCCTTTCTACTTTAATTAAGTTGACTTTGATCCAATTCCTTTAACCAAAGCTTCTAAGAGTTTTCAAAATTCGACACATCACATATATATTACGTTAAAGATAACGTATGTCGTAATATTCGAACAGATTTGTGAGTACACAATTAATATACATCCAAAAAGACTATTAGTATTTGTATCCCAAACAATGTTTTATGTATACGCTAATCTACTCTATATCTTTTCAGTTTTGTAAGTCATATGTGCACTTTTACTTTGTTGTCTTCATGATATATGTGTGTGTTTGTGTGTGTGTGTGTGTGTGTGTGTGTGTGTGTGTGTGTGTGTGTGTGTGTGTGTGTTTCTGGAATCATTGTTTGCCGAATCCCGATAGGACAATTTAGTTTTGGCTCAAATGGCTACAGTTTCAAATACCACATCTGAGGGACATAACAAACTCTTATACCACAAAAAATGTATGACCGCTATTCTTACATAAAAATGAATAAGACTTAACATTTAGTTGCAGTTTAAAGACTTCCTATTGAAGTGGCCAATCCGATCCGTTTGGGTTTACGTATTTGCTTTGGACGGTGAACGTTAACAGCTGAAGTACATTGGTCGATGTGCACGAGAGTCTTGCAAGATCTGACAACAAACCCTTTTCCTGAACCGGAGCCGTAATATACCTTTTTTATTGGAAATAAACTTGTTATGAAGCGTAGCTATTACTGAGCAATCCTATGGGAAATAAACAATATGTAGAGAATCAGATGGGAAAATAATTATAACAGTTCAATCTATAAACAAAGTAACACTCTTCATTAAGGTTTTAAATTAAAATGATCAATAAAAAACGTGTTTTGATTATTATATAAAATATAATGGGCAGTCATGACCTTTAAACATGTCTGACAAAATTGTTGATTATTTAACATTCTTTAAACTGAAAGGACCTGAAAGTCTTTGGAGAATAATGGGTCTTGTTCATGTCTTTTTCGCTGGATTAATGCTATTGAATATTTTTAAAATTTCCTTTCCGAAGAAATGTCTGGAGAATTACGGTTTTTTATTTTTGCTACTTCTGGTTTTATATTATTAACGGAAGAATCTTCATCTTGCCATACATATTTGTTATTAACCTGTTGGTTGAATTTTAATACTACTACACGCGTGGAATGTGAAACAGAGAGATAACTATGTACATTGAATTTCTTTAATTGTACCTTTGATAAACTGTATAGATAACTATATATGTTGAATATTTTCCTCGATATGAGTGTGGATCTTTCCATGATTGCTAACATGGTGTAAACTTTGGAATTTCCAAAGATAAACATTTATCTTATTCGTGGTTGAGACCAGGTGAAATATTGAGACCAGTCGCTTGTATTTATTGTCTGAGGTCGGATAGAAACGGATTGAATGTTTCACCATTCCAAGGTGGCGTTCCAAAATTCAAACAGAACAGGGAGTCTCTCTCTCTCTCTCTCTCTCTCTCTCTCTCTCTCTCTCTCTCTCTCTCTCTCTCTCTCTCTCTCTCTCTCTCTCTCTCTCTCTCTCTCTCTCTCTCTCTCTCTCTCTCTCAGAAGCGAGTGCCATGTGACGTAACACACAGTGTTAGACGCTTCAGCGTTCGTCTGCAGTACATCACTGCAACATAATTCGAGCAAGAAAGACAATGTATGGCGGGGTGGCGCCTACGGTGGTATGACGGCATTGTTTTCAGAAGAGGATTTTCTTTTTTCTTCGCTAGAATTTTTACGACTCCTCAAGCTTCACGACTTTCTCCCTCGATATTTTCGGTAGAGGATTTTAGAAAGTGACAGAAGGAAGAATTGGATAATGTTTTTTACTATAAGCATAATAAATATTTGTTATTCAAAAACAGCAAAAAGATGAAATGAGGACTAGAAGAAAAAGTGCAAATGAGCAAGACAGAAGAATGACAGTGGAAAAATAACTTTTGTATATCATACAAGACATTTTGCCTGAGTTAATATATTAGAGAGAAATGCCGCTCTTAAGATTGCACCAGTTCTTTCAGTTCTAAATATCAGTCAATAATTTATAATGTCTGTTGATGTAAACGATGTTGGTGTTGGTGGTGTATTGATTTAAGAACACACAAATTGTATAATCATCCAGTGTGATATTTTCCTAAAAGAAAAATTAAGTCAGTACCAGAGAGAAATATTTCAATCTTGTTAGTATTTGTTAGTTCATTTCCGCCTCTGAGTATTTGCATTTAGTGAACACATACCCCTTACCTTCACTGGCAAGATGAAAAACAAAAATCAGTCATTCACGTATAAAGAATTATTATATTTCTTCGTGTATAGTTGTGTCATTCGTAAGACTTCATCTCGTGTAATTTTAATCACGTCTATATTTGACTAATAGTTAAAAGAAAACATTAGTGTATATTTCTTTCATTTTATGAAGGGAGTATTAGGTACAATTGATATGTACGTGTTAGATTTTTTCAAAAATGATTATATGTTATGCATAAATGTATTTTGGATATAACCCTGTGTAAACTCACGTTCAATGTTTACTTGACTAGAGACACTGACTTCTAACATATTGGTTTTTCCAGAGTATACCATCTTGTACATCGTGTTTATCACATTCGTTATTATAATTTTATTCACATATTTGATCTGTTTACAACTTTGAATTTTCTACAAATGAGCTTTAGACC